AAACAGGTCGCTCTAAATAAATCTTACGGACCCTTTCTAGCCATTTTTTGCGGTTTTGCCTCTGCTTAATAATTGCACTTAATAGTAAAGTTTCAGCTATAAAAAAAAATCTGATTCGGACAACTTGCCGCAAACATACAGAAGCACAGCGAAGTAATAAGACACAGCTCTGTTGACGCTATATTACAGCATCGCGTTATTTTTGCGCAAATAATTCTATTGGTTAAATGCACTCTTCGCAAACGTACTCGTTTGGACGCTTTTACGCTGGTAACGTAAAAGCGCATTCGTGAGCTACGTTTCGAGCGTACTCGTGTGGACAGGCCTTAATGTCTAACTCCTTAGCAAGCTCTTGAGTGGTTGCATACTGATCTTCTTCCACAAGTTCTTGCAGGTGGGCCTCAACATCAGTAGGCTGGCCAGAGCATTCTGCTTCTTGAATACCCTTGTTTCTGAACTTTCAGTACCAAACCTTCACAGTGTCATATGATACAACATTAGTACCTAAAACTGTACACATGATTTGGTGACATACTGTAGCTGACCTTTTGCAACAGAACTGGAAGTAAATGATAGTTCTAATCTGGTAGCATTATAGTTCCATTTCAGAACCTTGTACTTAATGGTAACAATACCTTTTTACAAATTTCACAATGCAGTGTTTTCAAATGCCAAAAATTGTTTGACAAAATATGATTAAACATGCCAACACAAATTGTTTACGCAGACAATATTTTCGGTGGTGAAAAACTTTTGTTAAACCTCAATACTTTCTCAGCATGATATCTGTCGAGATTTTAATATTTATTTTACAAATGCCAAAGAGCACTTAAGCCACTTAAGTTGACATGCTCTCGAGTACTTTTTAACAATGTTCTCTACTGAGAAAGCTATTTTAATATTTAACTAGTCATTAGGTACAGCTTTAATTTTTTTCAATATTTATTCAGTGCATGTGCCTTGGAAATTGTATTCCCAGAGTTCGCACGGTCCTTAAAAGTCCTTAGATTTTTTAGAATTGATTTTTGGTTCTTAATTTGGGCCAAACTCAGCAGAAGGTCCTTAATTTTAATCATCTGAAATTTCTGTCTGTTTTCACGACTGCCATTTTGAGTGTGAATTAGCATTTTAGAGGAATATTTTTGGCTATTCACTGACATACATGGTTATCTTTTGAATGGGTTCATGGGTTATAATTCATTTCTATTTCTAATATAATGATGGGATACTCGAATTTCTAAGCAAGAAGTGAAACATAAGCATTTCGAAATTAATTTTTTTCTAATAAAGAGCTTTTAAACAACCTTTTTCGCTTTTGGAGATGTGAATTCTTTTATTAAATGGTTCTAAATTTGGCGACTAATCAACATTTTGGCAATTTTAAGATTGGTTTCCATAGAAAATTTTTAATTCCAAGATCTGAGAATTTTTTGACGATGTTTTTTTAAAACATCGTAACATTGATAAATTTCATTAACATTTCATTAATTAATATATTAAAATTATATTTAAAAAATAAGATTAAAAAACATATTTATTTTTCACTGTCATATTATAAAGTTTCATTTTGGCAACTTATTATACAATATTTTGACTCTGAAATATAAACAAGGTATAATGCTCTAAAGCATAATTTATGAAACAGCTCTTAGCAAAAGCAAAATTAGCTATGTAATTAATTAAAAAATGTCTTTTTAATTTTTCGTAGTAAGAGTTTTTCCAATGTAATTGTCTCAGGATATTCAAAATTCTCAGAATATGCATCGGTTTTCTGTATAAAATTTATTTTTCATTTTTCCCTCCCCCCCCTTTTTTTCCCCAAAAAATATTTCTGTCTTTTTGCTATTACAGAGTTGGTAGGGATAATTTTTCTTTAGGATTTTGAACATTGCAGCTTGGAAGGTTTAAAAGGATTTGAAGGCAAGATTTATAGGCCCACGATTCGAGAAATATGTGACAAAATGAAAAATGTCTCCATGGTATCAACACGTAATGGATGTATTTTACAAAACATTTGAATGAATTTCTTACTTTTTGGAGAATGTCTGGAAGAACAATGAAAACATAATATTTGAATGTTTTACTTCTGATACTAGAATCTTAACATGTTTATCTTCCCTACTTGTCACTAGACTCAAGCATGGAAAATATCAAAAATGCTTCTAATCTTATCACACGGGCTTTCATAATAGAAAGGGAAATTTTTATTAATAAAGAAATTGAAAACTTGCAGTTTAGAAGATTCATCTAATATGTCTTAATGCATCATACACACAGCTGGCACTAGGCATTTTCCCACCTGATGTAATCTCTGGGTTCCTAAATTCTGCTGCCTAGTGCTTTTCTAAATTCTGCTTCCAATTCCTGCTCTAAATTTTAAAAGTTTTGCCATTCTAGAATTTGTTGTTCACTGTGTCACTAAATTCTAAAAATTCTGCCACATCAGCTCTGTAACCGGCCTTTACCATATATATTTCATATTTTTTCTAAATGTTCATGTTACTTAGCCGCTTTTTCTATAAATCTAAATGCATTTAGTGTTTTTTAGAATAACATAATCCTTAATTAAATCCAAAAATTCTAAAATGAAAAAGAAATGTGTGAAGAAAGAAACTGAATACATAAAGAAAATTATTCTTCGGAGATATGTGCAGTTATTATTATGTAAATTACTCAATTGTTTATTATTTCAGCCTTTACTATAATTTCACATTTCTATTTCCTCATATGATAGAGTTACTGAGCCAGATTAAATTAAAATTAAATTGTAGAATCTTTGACCACTACTCCACATTTTTAGTTTGAATTTGATTGTTCTTGTTTAATTACGTCACCGTGAGCTGTATTTGATTTTGTTAGTGTCAGAACATGCTTTTATGTTCTAAGTTCTTTTTAAATAAGAGACTTATTTAAACCTTTGTCTGATATTGTAGTTATTGTCAGACATAGCAATTAATATGCTTCACGTCTGTCGGGGAGGGGGGTTGGACTGTTTAACTCTTACCAGATCAAGTAAACCCTAACATTGTGGAGAGGTTGACAAATTAGGAGATAAAGCACGCAGAAACTAGCGAGAGCATTAGTTTGCATATTGAGACAAATTTCTAATTGTTAGAAAAGATGCTTAAAGAGAAGTAAATCAATATAAACTAGCCAAAATGTTTGGGAAGGCTTCAAATTAAAATGACTGATAAATATTTTGTTGAGTGTTGTTGTTACAAAACATAAATGTTTGTAGCTTTTAATGTGTAATTATCCTAATATCATTTAAGAATCAATGTCATAAATTAGATGTATTTTAAACTGTGAAAGTTTATTAGATTTTGATTTTAATAGGTCTTTTTTAACAAATATCGTTAAAAATAAAATTTAATAGTTGCCATGTAAATCGATAATAACTAAGGTTATCAAACTACCTAATTTAATTATTTATAACTAAATGCTTACCCTTAAAAATTATCTCTACATATTAAGGCAAGTTATTGCCTTTCATTAATACTCACTGTGGTCACAAGATAAAATACAAAGATGTAAAAATTCAAGTAAAACTTATTCTTTGCATCTAATGAGATTTAAAATACAAAATAACTTATCACCTCTAGTGCTTTAATGGCTTATTGGAACCTTAAAGTATATTAACTGGGTTACAACGCCTGGTAACCCAGTTAATATATTTTTAATATATGCAGTTTACTGGAACTCTACACGAACCTACGACACTAACCTGCATCAAATAGCGCCTGGCTAACTTTCAACACTTGCCAACCGTGTCTAGATCAGGTGAACTGTTCTAATCAGCAGATCTCTCTCTAGATAAGCAGCAGCGGTGACAAGATTCAATCTTTTGTTATGAATCATGATGATTATGATTTTACTTCTCATTTTAACGTATGCCATTTGACATAAAATCTACCTGCTATTTACTAAACCTCTAGACTGACCAAATATGTGGCAAGATGAGACATAAAAAAAAAATCAACATAAAGCTAACTATTAGTAAAATGTAAATGTCACTTATCTTCTTTCAAATAATATGTCCATCTATTATAAGTGTAAGATATTTAATGCTACTTGATAAATTGCTTATAGTTTATTTTATTCTCAAACTTATAATTATGTTAATTAATTCATGTTTAGTAATAATGCATACTACTTAGAAATCTATTTTATTTTTAGGATGGTATTACAAAAGTGAAATTCAGGCATAAATAATATTTTTAATTGAATTTATTCAGCTCCCATTTACTCATAGATCCATAATTTTTTCGATTAATGGTCCTTAAAAATACTTAATTTCTGCGTGCAGAAATGTGTACAAACCTTGATTTCAAAATCTTAGTGCAACAGCTGTAATTTGTTTCCACTTCAGCTTTGAAGTGGAAATTATGCTTTAAAAGCTAGGAGCTGCTCAACATTCGCAAGATGGATATTATTTGATATCAACCCAGTGACCTGTTGAAGCTGCTTGAACTGGTTACTTGTATTACAAACTGAGTAACTAAATGCTTAATGAAAAATAATAGCTCAAGTATTTTGTTAACAGCCATTTGTAAAAAATGAGGGTGAACATTGAATCCTGAAGTTTTTATTCATTGAAGATTTTTAATGAGACTTTTCACTGAAAAGAACTACAAAATGTTGGTTATTTTTTTTCTGACTTTTGTTTGTGTTGATTGAATGGCACAAATTGAAAATGATTGGATGGCAAATCCAGTTATTGTTAAACTTTTTTTTTTTGTAAGATTTAATTAAATCCTAAAAGATTCTAAAAGTGTAAATTTTGTAAAGACATAATAGATATTTTAATTCCTTAGAGCTATATTCCAATCTTGGCAATGAATAACTGCTGCATACTTTATATCATACATGTGTATAATATGTTGTTCGAAGCCTTTTAAATATTCTGTTTCAGGTTAGCAGTTTTTAATCTAGCATTACCCAAATAATAATAATTATATTTTTTTATTTTTTATTTTTATTTTTATTTTTTTTTCCCCCAGTTTGCCATGCTGAAATGAATGCAATTATGAATTGTATAGGAAGAAATCTTAGTGACTGTATCATATACGTAAACAAGTTTCCATGTCCAGAATGTGCTAAACTAATCATTCAATCTGGTATTAAAAAAGTAATGTATATGGATCCAAAATTAGTGTTTGGGATTTATGATGAGACTTATCCATCAAGAAAGATGTTTGATTGTTCAGGAGTAACACATTGGTATGTAAAATTTATTACATTTCAGTGATTCTCAAATTATTTTTGATGCATGTTTCTGATGCTCTGTCTAATAAAATCAAGAAAAAAGAATTCATGATTTCACGCAAATAGTATTGTTGGGTGCGCACTGGTTCGTAATAGATTGAATGCACAAGTCCAATAGAAGGTTAATGAAATTTTTTCTAATCAAAATAAATATGCCAGAACGCTGAATTTTTCCTCAAAGATATTCATACAATGTCATAATATCACACAATGTAATCAGTAGCTATACTTTAAACTACTAAAATGTTAAATAGAACACAATCCACAGCACAGAGAAAGCTAATCCAATCAACAAGAAAAGCAGCTAGCAAAACAACTGAGCTGAGATGTTCTCTTTCTGGCATTTTATAGCTTTTTTTTAAAATTGACTGTGCGAGATACTTCTAGCAATTTCTCGCAAGCAAAAAGAGTAGAACAGGGTTGCCATGCTAACTGGAAAACCAGAAAAAGTCAGGGAATTTAAGTGTTTTAGTCAAAATCTGGAAAAGTCAGGGAATTTCATACAACGATCCCGCCAAAAAAGGCGAGTTTTGCACCGACGTCGGAAGAGATAACTTTTTTGGCGAATTGTGTATCACGTGAGTGTTATTCAGGCAGCTGGCATAGAGCCAGTTTTCGCAGCTCCAATTTGATTGTCTTTTTAGAAAGGCAAAGCAAGTTTCCCGCAACTTTTGGTTTCCAGTAACCTCGAGAATCGCATGTGCAGTGCGTGAACTAAAGAAAGTACCTGTTCTCGTATAAAACAAAATGGGTTTAATCCTAGTATACGGTACCATGAAGGTTAGAATCAAAAAATATGTATTGTAAAGAAGGAAAACCTCTCTGCAACAGACGTGGCTCCGTTCCATCATAGCGGGAAACAGCTGTGCATGCGCCAAAGCTCGAAACCAGTGTCGAAGTTCGAAGGTCACGTTATCAAGAGTTCATAAAATGAATGTCGTTTAAAATTTCTGTAAACTCTAAAGGAAAAGAAAATATTTTTTGGCGCAAGTAAATTAACTCATGGATTAGTTATTTTGAGGGGGGGGAATCTACGAAAATCCACTTTTTAAAATTATTGCGAAAAATCCAAGAAAAAACGTTCTTTGATAAAACGTTTCTTCTTGGATTTTTCGCAATAATTTAAAAACGGATTTTCGTAGTTTTCTTTTTTTGTTAAAGAACGTTTCTTCTTAACACGTGTTTCTCAATTTCCTGTACACATCGCGGAGAATGAAATTCTGTCCGCCAGGTTCCGTCACCAAATCCCTTGGCAAATTTTCCCTCCGCTTTTTACATAGACGTTCTTTGGTTAGAATAATCTCCATGTATGGTACAGAGGGATTTGGCAACATGATGATGAGCAGTAAACGGGTCATTTTGTTCTTGGTGACAATTTTCAAAATCATGCGAAGGCCGCATCGTATACTAGGGTTTTACCGCAAAATCTTTTTTTTTTTTTTTTTTCTTTTTAATAAATACCTTGTCATTTTGCAGTAAAATAAAAAAATAGTAATCAATCATCTAGGATAACCAAGTGATATAACTATATTCACTAAAATATCGTTGATTATTCTAATTAAATTTTTAAGTAATTATCTTTATTTTTATGTTATTCATATCATTTAATGTTGCTTCTTCCCTCTAAATTTATTTATCATTAGTAAATAATATTCCAAATTTCAGGAAATTTTCTCTCGCATAATCCTGAAAAATTAATTCTAACAGTATGATGACATCACGAAATTTAATGCACATATTTTTTCTTTATGTATGCTGCGAAACAAATATAAAATACCTCAATTTAGTAAAAAAATATCATTAAATAGATTTCTTTCATTCGTTTAGCTGCAGAATGTCTGCAAAAAAAAGCCTTATTTTATTCCAGATTTGGCAGATTCTAATCTCAATCTTCAGTGGAGAAAACAACTCCTATTATAATAATATTTGTGTTTTCAAGTGTTAAGGTGCCTTTTAAGAATACACCTCACACAAATTAAATTTACCTAAAATCTAACCTAACTTTTACCATTGCGTTGTGATTTCTAAGAACCGGATTACCCTCGTGTTGAACTGGGGATAATCATGAATAATAATTAAATAAAACGTACAGTTGTTATCCAATGTATATATCTTAAATTTTATTAAGTTTTTTTAAGCGGAAAAGTAAACAAAATTATCAAACAAAGTGTACCAAGAATAATTAAGAATAAATGTCCTCTGCGATTTATTGAATAATTAAGTGAATTTGCTACACAGTACAAGTAATACCATAATTAATTTACCTCTTAGCCCAGCCAACGTACATTACGCGGATAGTCTGGAATTTTCTCGAAACATACCTGGAAAAGTCAGGGAATTTCATTCTCTTGTTTGAGTAGCAACCCTGGTAGAATTACAGTTATAGCTAACATAATTGTCAATTACATTTATACAAATTAAATATAAATTACCAAGATAAACTTTTATTCAATGTTAAATGCTTCTGCTCCTATATTTTTACTTTTTCTGACATAGCTTTCTCTTAAATATCTCGTTCTGCATTGCACGGGAAAATAAAACAATTTTAATTATAATTATACTAAAAATATCTATCTAAATACAAAATTCATAACACTGCCCCCTTCCCAAAGACTGCACATCCTGGGCAGTACAATCCCAGGGCAGGAAGCCATACTTATAATTAAAGCATCAATGTAATAATACACGTTACAATACAATAACAAACAACATAAACAGTAATTATGATAAGTAACATAACACAAATTAAATACTAAATCAATAAACGAGCGCACAAATTTTACAAATTTAGAAACAAAAAGGACCGTGGTCTTTTGCTATTTTTATTATATACACTATGTAGTTTGGTCATAGTAAGGAGCTGGCCTATACTAATGAAAAACTTTAGGCTTAGAATTTGATGACTTATTCATCAAATTCTAAGCCTAAAGTTCTCTGGATCCGAACTAAGCCTAAAGTTCTCTGGATCTAACTATTCTAAGCCTAAAGTTCTCTGGATCCGAACTACAACGTCATTTAGCTGTTTAGGACTGTGTTAAAACCATCCCAAGGTGACTGTAGTTTAGAACAGTCTTTTCCGTCGAATCTGATTCCACAACCGCACCTTATCTCCTTCGTTGAATTAATGTCCTATCATTATGCGCTATCATGTCGTATCGGGTCTTCATCTTCTTCGTCGCCAAGTTGACCCACTATCATGCAAACTTGTGCATCACTTCAAACTGGGCCTGGAGATCTTGGATGTATTCCTCAGGCATGTATGGAGCATCCTCAGGCGCATCCGGAGGGCGACCAAAGAAGAGATTACACAGCAGACATAGGTCATCACCAAAGAGCATCTGAGATGGGTAGGGTCGTAGATAGCACTGCAGTAAGCCAGTAAAAACAGTGGTAACTTCTTGTCCTAGTCCTGTTGGTTTCTAGAAACCACCAAGGAGAGGTAATTAAGAATGCTTCGATTAAAGCCCTCTAACATGCCGTCTGACTGAGGATGTAAAGGTGTTGTTTGGATTGTGTCAATGCCGAATAGCTTGCAGAGTTCTTTAATTACAGCCTAGGTAAAATTCCGTCCTTGATCGGAATGTAACCAAAGAGGTACTCCGAACCTGGAAATCCAGTGTTGTATCATTACATTTGCTACTGTGACAGCCTCTTAATCAGGAATAGGATATCCTTCAGGCCACTTGGTGAAGTAATCAATGACAGCAAGGTGGAATTTGTTGCCATCAGCAGTTCGTGGCAGAGGCTCCAAGATGTCAAAGGCGATATGTTCAAAAGGCTGCCTCGGCTGTGTTTCTTTGGTCCTTTCTGACCTTCACAGGCATCGCAAGATTGGGACCACTTTTGCACATCATCCTCTCCATTAATCCAGTAGAAGCACTTATGGATTCCATTATTCCAGAGGGGCCTACTGTAGGCTGCTATGTAATTCTTTAAGGATATTCAAGATCTAGGAAGTATCAGCTGCCATCGGAACACCTTCTCATCATCTGATTTGAATTTTCGGTACAAGACGCCATTTGGAATGGGGAGTGAATTCCAGAGAACACAGTATTGTTTTGTCGTCGGACTATAAATTGAAATGTCCTGCCAGGTAGGTTTTCTGTTTGAGGACACCATTAAATCAATTATGAGTTTAATATTGCCCTCTCCCAGCTGGTCTTTCCTGACTTCTTTGTCACTCCATGGGTCTTGATCAGCCGTTGATGTTGTAATTTGTCGTGCGATGGATTAAGCAGTTCGTATTTCGCTTCAACCCTGGAGCAATATCGGTAGCTTTCCTGGCAAGGTCTTCTAGACAGGGCGTCGGCGTTTCTGTGTGATGATCCCTTCCGATGACATAGTGATGTCATATTCCTGGAGTCTCTGTATCCACCTGTCTATTTGACCCTCAGGATTCTTGAAATCTTAAAGCCAGGTCAATGATACATAATCCATGCTGAGTAGGAATTTTCTGCCTTAGAGATAATGATGGAAATGTTGTACTGCTTTAACTATGACGAGCAACTTTTTCCTGGTGGAACAGTAATTCCTCTTAGTACTCCACAGTAATTCGGTTTAGGCAGCACTTGCTCCAGTAAGCCAAAATGCATTCTTGGAACAAAACAGTTCCGACACTTTCGTTGCTCACATCCATGTCGAGAATAAATGGTTTGTCAAGTTGAAGGTTGTGTCAGGATTGGAGCAGATGTTAAAGCTTCCTCCAGGTTCTTAAATGCATCCTCACATACTCGATGGGTCAACGAGGTGCTGTGGTTTCTAGTACTGCTTTCTGGCTGTTACAGTTCTTGTATATGCTATGATGCCGTAGCAGAAATTTCTATTTTCGTCTACAGATCCAGGAAGTAAAAATTCTGTTTTTTCTGGTATTGTTATATTGTCTTGAGCTATGATTTTGTGGATAGATTTCACTCCTTCATCATTAAATCTGAATAGGGCTATGTCCTCAGAGACAG